TGACCCTGTTAATCTGCATGTGTGCCCACAAGCCTGATGTCTTCCTGCCAATCACGGGCTCATAAGCCCCTGAAGCTAGGGTCAGAAAAAGGCTCCAGCCTCACATCTGAACTATGGGCTCGGTACTTGCCTGCTTCTGAAACGGTGTGCACCATGTTCTTACCATAGACTTGTGAGTTGTATCTTGGACTATGAACCACAGAGTCAGCATTTCAAAGCCACCAGCTGCCCAATGGCAGAAAGAGGAGGCCCATAGAGATTTCCAGTCTCCAGTGCTGCTTTGTCCGACGGGATCGCCGTGGGTTGGAGTCAACTCCACGGAAGTTGAGATGTGTACTTTACATAAGCTTCGTTCCGTTTGTGTTCCTAGAGAAGCGGTTCTCAACCTGTGGGTCGCGCGACCCTTTGGGGGGGGGTGTCAAACGACCCTTTCACAGGGCTTACCTGATTCATAACAGTAGCGAAATGACATTGATGAAGTAGCAACGAAAATAATTTTATGGTTGGGCGGTCACCACAACTGCATTAAAGGGTGGAGACAAGAGGAAGGTTGAGAACTGCTGTCCCAGAGCAAGGCTCCTTTCAGATGTTTTCTACTCTCGACCCCTCTTCCCTCCAGAAATTTGCAACACGGACAAGCACTGCCAGAAACACTTCAGATTCATTATGTGTTTGCTTTGAATTAATTTGTGGCCACTGCCCATCAAGAAACCTTCACTGTTGCCAGATTGGTCAGGTCCTCACGTCCAGTTACCCAGCCTTTAAGAAGCTTTGCGAGAGGGCCCGGCTAGAACAGTGATCCGGGTGAGCACAGTATGATCTATGGAGAAGGCAGGTAGTCTGGTAATGACCAGGCTCGCGTGCTAGCTAGTAGTAGTGATTCATTCATTCACTGGACACACTTTTTGATCATCACTAGGAGACAGGCACCAAGCAAACCGCAGTGAACAAGGCAGGCAGACAGGAACTTCAAAGCTTGGAGGGGAGACAGAAAATAAAGACGCAGATGCGCACGACTGTTCCGAGAGTGAGAAATCGGCAACGTCAGTGCCGCGGAGTAAGTGGGCAGAGGGAAACTGGCTGCAGGAGGACAGGAAGTGCTCTGTACCAGGAAGGGAGGGGGAAGCCAGTGCCCACTGGGTGGGACCCTGGGCAGATATGGGGCTGAAGTGCTCACAGGACAAAGAACTCCGGAGACAAATCAATCAGGCATCAGGGCGGAGAAACCAGGAGGATGGGTGGAAGTTACAGCGGTGAAGCAGGCAGCAATCTTCAGGGTCCTGCAGGCAGGGAAGGTGGTTGGTGAAAAAACATTGGACTGGGTGCCCAGCGGGTGGAGGAGGAGTGGGGTTGAGAAGAGAGAACGTACACTTGACTTCCAGGCGCAGGGCACAGCCCCACGATGGATGGGAGGGTCTGTTGACCGAAAAGAGGGCGTGGCAAGAAGAGATTTTGAAACATCAAGGCTCTTGGAGATTCGGGTAGTGGTTGTTGGTGGGGGAGGTGGGGCCAAATCAACTCCATAGCAATGGTTTAATCTTGATGGACAGCTCACCACGTCTTTCTCCCAGGGAGCTGCTGCTGCTGTTGTGGGTGTTGTGGAGTACTTAGCAACCCTAAGAACACCAGAATGAAGTGTCATCCTCACAATTGTTCTTCTGCTTGAGTCCACTGACGAAGCCTCTGTGTCAGTCCATCTTGTTCAAGGACTTCCTCGTTGTCTTCGCCCCTCCTCTTTAACAAGCATGACGTCCTTCTCCAGAGCTTAGTCTCTCCTGACAGCATGTACAAAGCACGTGAGACGAAGTCTCACCGTTTTTCCCTCTCAGGAGTCTTCTGGCTGGGTCGGTCCAAACAGCCAATCTCTCAGTCAGCAGCCTAGTGTTTAACTGCTTGTGCCACAAGAGTTCCAGATAGCCAATGCGACATGGAGTCCCAACTCACTGCCATCGAGTCCATTCAAACTCATAGCAACCCTAGAACAGAGCAGAACGGCCCCTGTGGCTTTCGGAGGCTGCAAATCCTTACAGGAGTAGACAGTTCCATTTTTCTCCCTTGGAGGGGCTCGTGGTTTCGAACTGCTGAGGCTGTGGTTAGCAGTGCAATGTGTACACACAAGGCAGCCAAGTCTCCAAGCCAAGGACTCTTCATTAACATTTAACACCTCAAGGTCACAAGTTTTAGCCAATCTGAAATGCAGACAGGAGCCCTGGTAGGATAGTGGGTTATGCATTGGGCTAACAGCAAGGTCAGTAGTTCAAAACCACTAGCTGCTCCATGGGCGAAAGATGAGACTTTCTCTTCCTATAAACAGTTACAGTCTTGGAAACTTACAGGAGCAGTTCTAACCTGTTTCATAGGGTCACAACTGTACCAACCCAGTGGCAGTGAGAGTTATTTTGAGAGAAACTATAGGGCTATTAATCGTGTTTTGTGAGAGAAACTATAGCCTGATTAATAACCAGCGATATGCAGATGACACAACCTTGTTTGCTGAAAGTGAGGAGGACTTGAAGCACGTGCTGATGAAGATCAAGGATTGCAGCCTTTGGCATGGTTTACAACTCAATATAAAGAAGACCTGTGAGATAGTTAAAGATTATTGTGCCAACCTGGCCGATAAACACATGTGGGGTTAATTGAAGGGCAGAGAGATAAATGGGTCGATGAGCCTCTCCTTTCTAGTTCTCGGGTCTCTTGCTTTCTGATGGCTGGACCAGGGTGCAACTGTCTTAGCCAGTTCCTGCTTCAGCTGGCAAGGCTCACTTCCTGCAAGACATCCCTGAGGAAAAGCCACATGAACCTACCCTGGTGCAGCCGTGGGTGCTGGAGCAGCCATGTGGAGACCCCTGCCAGTGTTGAGATGCTTACACGCTCACAGATTTGGCTTTCCTCCTGCAATTGGCATCATTGCTTGTGTTTTGTGGGATGGAGGAGGACTTTGTGGATTGGTGTTGGACATATGGGCTACTGTTGGACTTGTGGGCTTGGGCAGCACTGGGTTGGGATGTTTTCTTGATGTGCACTTACCCTTTATATAAAACTCTCTCTTATACATATGGGTTTCTGTGCATTTGTTTCTCTAATGTACCCAGACTAACACAACCCATATCCTCACAACTGGACCTATAGGTAATATCGTGATAAATGGAGACAAGGTTGAAGTTGTCAAAGATTTTGTCTTGCTAGAATCCACATCTATGCTCATGGAAGCGGCAGTCAAGGGACCAAAAGATGTGTTGCGTTAGGTAAATGTGTTACACAAGATCTTTTTCGAATATTGAAAAGCAAGGATGTTCCTTTGAGGACTAAGGTGTGCCTGACCCAAACCATGGTGTTTCCATCGCTCCATAGGCGGTGAAAGGTGGACATGGAACAAGGAAGCCTGAAGAAGGGGGTGCATTTGAACCGTGGTGCTGGAGAAGAATATCGAAAGTACCATGAACTGCTTAAAGGACAAAATGACATGCCTGGGAAGAAGTAATGGCCAGAGTGCTCTTTAGAGACAAGGATGGCAAGACTTCATCTTCCATCCTTTTGGACAGGTTGTCAGCAGAGACCAGTCCCTGGAGCAGGACATCCTGCTTGATAAAGGGGAGGAGCAGCTAAAACGAGGAAGGTCCTCACGGAGATGGATCCACACCGGGGCTGCCACAATGGGTTCCATCGTAGGAACCATTGTAAGAATGGTGCGGTGTCATGCGGCGTTCTGTTCTGTTGTCTGTAGGGTACCTATGAGTTGTGACCGACTCGGTGGCACCTAAAAACGGCAACATAGAATGCCATCATGATAGAATCTAGTGGTGCTGTCTGGCTTGTCCTATGCTGATCTTAACTCCTAGTGAAGCCATCTTTCTGGAAGTTGCTTCTAAATGCCAGGCAGACTCTACCACGCCTGAGTGGTCATCTGTCAGCTCGGTCCCCTCATCTGAGTCCTTCGTTGTCATGCACACCAAAGAGAGGGACAGGTCACCTTTGCAGAGGTCAGAATTGAATGCTCACCAGTACCAGGGGTTTACACGCTGAGTCCACAGTTCTTTTTTTTTTGAACACAGAACTTTCTTGTTTTTAAAAATCATTTTATTGAGGGCTCGTACAACTCTTATGGCCATCCATATATATATGCATCCAGTGCGTCAAGCACATTTGTACATTTGTTGCCATCATCATTCTCATAACATTTGCTTTCCACTTGGGCTCTTGGAATCAGCTCATTTTTCCCCCTCCCTCCCCTCTCCCCCCTCCCTCATGAACCCTTGATAATTTATAAATTATTATTATTTTATCATATCTTACACTGCCCGATGTCTCCCTTCACCGACTTTACTGTTGTCCATTCCCCAGGGAGGAGGTTATATGTAGATCCTTCTAATCGGTTCCCCCTTTCTACCTGACCTTCCCTCCACCCCCCTGGTATCGCCACTCTTACCACTGGTCCTGAAGGGACCATCTGTCTTGTGTTTCCAGTTCCTATCTGCACCACTGTACATCCTCCGGTCTAACCAGGTTTGTAAGGTAGAATTGGGATCATGATAGTGGGGCGGGTGGGGGGGGGCACGAAGCATTCAAGAAGAAAGTTGCACCCTGAGTGACTCATCTACTCCCCACTACCCTCTGCAAAGGGATGTCCAGTTGCCTACAGATGGGCCTTGGGTTCCCCACCCTGCACTCCCCTCATTCACAATGATATGATTTTTTGCTCTTTGGTGCTTGATACCTGGACCCTTCAAGCCATCGTGATCACATAGGCTGGTGTGCTTCTTCCATGTGGGCTTTGTTGGAACACAGAACTTTCTAAGACCACATGAAATGTGTGTTCCTTTAGCCATCAGCTCTGCCACAGTCACCCCACCCCAAGGTTGGGTTTAGAACACTTGGAAGAAATCCTTCAGAGCCACAAAAAGGTACAAAGGATGCAGCAAGGACACCTGCGTGCCGTGACATGCAGGCAGTGGGAGCAGCTCGGCGCCCGTCCTGGTCCCAGTCCTGCAGCTGCAGTCATGGCCAAAATTTCCGGCAAGGTCAGTGTGTTGCAGGAACCCGCTGGCCGAGAAAGGGAGAGCGTGAGTGTCCTCTTTCTATAGTTGTCTCCTGCTTGGCAACTGCTCCTTTGAAGGAAACGCGGCGAGGGGCTGACACACCGTTTGCTGTTTCTGTGACCGGCTGAGATTAGGCTGGCTCCACCGTGAGATAGGCTGGGGGCAATGTGATATGAAGCAGGCTCGACAGGGACTGGCCTAGCACTGTGTCCAACAGCCCAGGCCTTGCCCAGGGGCCTGCCCCACCGCACTTTGCTTTCCTCTTGCCTGGAACACCCTGGGCAGTTGACTTTCCCCAGGGCCAGGAGGCCCACCTTGGTCTGACCTTCTTTCACTGAGAAAGCCTGAAGTCTCTCAAGGTCAGTGAGAGACAGGACGGGCTCCCAGAGGCCTGGCCCCCACCTGCTGGGCTTTGCTCACTGCACGGATTATCGTGCATTAAACAGAACCGGGCTCACATGGGCTGCCGCACCCCCAGACAAGAGCCGGTGAGAGGAACAGGTTTTGTTACGCTCCTTCCACCCTCTAAGTCCCTACCCCACTGCCACCGAGTGCTGTCCAACTCCAAACACCAAACCTCACTGCCAGCGAGGCCATGCCAACTCCTGGCGACCCTGTGGGACAGGGCAGAACTGCCCCTGTGGGTTTCCTGACTGTAACTCTTCACGGGAGGAGAAAGCCTTGCCTTTCTCCCAAAGAGGGCTGGTGTTTCCAAACAGCTGACTTCAGTTTGCAGCCCAACATGCAGCCACCAGTGCAGATCTAGGTTTGAGAATCACCGTCTGAAGCAACTTTCCAAGTGTCTTGAAAGTTCACACAATCCGGTGTGTGAATGTTGGGGTAGGGGGTGAGTGGGGCGGTGGGCTGGAAGAAAGGTGTAAGTTTGATCATTTCCATAGAATCTACTTGTAAAGATGCCAGGTGGTCAGAGGGGAACAGTGCTTCCTCGGAGCCTTCTTTCTCTGCATGGACTGAGCATATGAACGATTTGCCCCATCCACCATCTGTTTGGGTTCTGTGTTTGTCAGGGTTAACTAGAGAAACAGATCCAGGGACACTCACATGTGTATGAGAAAGAGCTTTATATACAAGAGCAGTTGAATATTGAGAAAACATCCCAGCCCAGTCCAGATCAAGTCCATAAGTCCGATATTAGCTTATATGTCAATACCAATCTATAAATTCCTCTTCAGACTCAGGCAACACATGCAATGGTGCCGAGTGCAGGATGATCACAGGCCAGTGGGTGGAAGGTCTTGTGGATCCAGTGGCAGTAGAAGCATCTCAGTGCTGGCGTGGATCTCCTTGTGGCTCCTCCCAGTTTAGGGCACTAGCGTAGCTCCATGTGGCTTGTCAGCTGCAATTGTCTCCCAGAGAGTGAGCAGAGAAAGTGTCTCCAGCCTCCAAGGAGGAATACAGGAGTTGCCAGAATCCTCCGGAGAAGGCCAAGTCCACAGAGAGGCCTCGTTTGCTATCACCTGATTGACAGGCTAGACTCCACCTCTTCACTCTTAATCTTCAAATTGACAAACCATTATATAACTACCACAGGTTCTAAACAACCACCACCACTCTCTCCCACCTCATTGCTCCCGATCATTTGATTCTGATTCATAGGGACAGTTTATTGCCTGTGTTAGTCTGGGTAGACTAGAGAAACAAATTCACAGACACTCATATGTGTATAAGAAAAAGCTTTATAAAAAGAGTAATTGTATATTAAGAAAACATCCCAGCCCAGATCAAGCCCATAAGTCCAGTATTAGCTCATATGTCTATGTCTGATATTAGTCCATGAATTCTTCTACAGAATTAATGCAGCACATGAATGATGCCGAAAGCAGGAAGATCCCAGGCCAGTGGATAAAGTCTTGTGGAAGCATCTCAGTGCTGGCGTGGGTCTCCACGTGGCTCCTCCAGCTCCAGGGCTCTGGCTCCATCAGTGTGCCTCCAAGTGGCCTGTTGACAGGAATGTCCCACAGAGAATGGGTCTGGACTCCAGTGAGCTATTTATCTCTGCCGTGCCTCCAAATGAGGTCATCAAGTTGTAACCCGGTTGACAGGCTAAACTCCACCCCTTCACTCTTCATCTCAAATAGACACCCAGTGATGTAACTACCACATTGCCTATAGGAATGAGCAGGGCTGTCCCACAGGGTTTCCAAGGCTGTCATCGTCAGAGCAGCTGGTGGGTCAGAACTGATGCGGTGGTTACCTGTTGGGCTGTGAGGTTAGCTTATTGTGCCAACCTGGCTGATAAACACACGTGGGGTTAATTGTAGGCAGAGGGATAAATGGCTCAGTGAGCCTCGCCTTTCGAGTTCTCGGGTCTCTTGCTTTCTGATGGTCGGACCAGAGTGCAGCTGCCTTAGCCAGTTTCCTGCTTTAGCCGGCAAAACAAGAAGCCTCATGGACCTACCCCAATGCAGCCCTGGGTGCTGGAGCAGCTGTGTGGAGAGCCCTGCCCTCGCTGAGATGCTTACACATTCATTGACTCCGTTTTCCTCCTGCAGTCGGCATCTTAGTGTGTTTTGTGAGATGGAGGAGGACTTTGTGGATTGGTGTTGGACATAAGGGTTAATGTTGGACTTGTGGGCTTGGGCAGCACTGGGTTGGGATATTTTCTTGATGTGCACTTAACCTTTATATAAAATTCTTATACTAAGGTGACCAGACGTCCCGCTTTTGGCGGGACAGTCCCGATTTTTGGAAAGAATGCACGACAAGCTAGGGAACGGTCTATTCAGTCCACATAGACCAAATTTTTAATCAAGACACCCCTCCCCCAACCCTGCCCCCGGTCAATGGTGTCCGGCTTTAAATCTGGTCACCTTATCTTATACATGAGTTTCTGTGGATTTGTTTCTTTAAAGTACCCAGACTAACACAGGCTGCTAACCGCAAGGTCATCAGCTTGAAACCACAGCTGCTCCCAGGGAGAAAGTGGAGGCTTTCTGCTCCAGTAGATTAAATCTCAGAAACACACAGGGGCAATTCTACCCTGTCCTATAGGGTCACTATGTGTCAGACTCTACTTGATGGCCGTGAAGTTTTGTTTTAATGAGTCAGAATCCACTCAACGGCAGTGGGCGTAGGTACTTTTTGGAGGCCTTCCAGCAGAGCTCACTGATGGCGTGGTGCATTGGGCTGCTAGCCACAAGATGTGTGGTTCAAACCCACCATCCACTCCATGGGAGAAAGATGAGGTTTTCCATTCCCATAAAGGTTTATAGCAGTTCTCAACCTGTGGGTGGTGACCCCTTTGGAGGTCGAACAACCCTTTCACAGGAGTCGCCCAATTCATAACAGTAGCCAAATTACAGTGATGAAGTAGCAATGAAAATGATTTTATGGTTGGGGGCGTCACCACAACATGAGGAACTGTCTTAAAGGGGCTTGGCATTAGGAAGGTTGAGAACCACTGGTTTATAGGCTCACATTCTATAGGGTCTTTATGAGTGGGGTAGGGATTTTCAGCCTCCCAAACCCCAGGGGTAGTTCTAGTCTGTCCTAAAGGGTCACTGGCTGTGAGTTGGCATTGGCTCTCTGGGTTGAGTGAGGGCTTGGAGCCTTGGAAACCTTGTGGGTCCGTCCTATGAGTCGGAATCAGCTTGAGGGATCTTGAGGTTTGGCTGTTTGCTTCCAAGGCCTGTGATCTTTTATGTCACAACGCACTAGCCATCTTGTCTTCAGCACAGCAGGGCAAAGGTCAGACGTGTTCCTGAATGACTTGGGTATTCTAAACTCCAGTTTAGAAGACAATATACTTTGAATTGAGATTTTTAAAAAATTGGTGGTGGTGGTGGGGGAATATTGAAAGTGTATCCCATCAGCAGAGTTGGAAAGCAAAAATAAGCAGCCAGGCTGGAGGCGGTGAAAAGGGGCGGAGATCATGAATGTTCCAAGAGATGTGTCCAGTCTGACCTGAGGTCACTGAGGGTTATTCAAGCGTCTCATGGAGTTCCTTCCTGTTGCCGTTACCATGTCATCTTCATTCTAATAAAAAGATAACTCATTCTTTCCAAGGGAACAGAGGAATCACCCTGCAGGGCTCCCACCACACCGGTCTCAGAAAGGCCCTGATGTGCAGTGGGGGGCGGTAACAGGACTGAAGTGATCACGTTCATCAAGAAGCAATCCATTGCGACCGGGTCAGCCTTCCAAACCCCAAACCCCTGCAATCTGACTCAGATCAACCCAATGGGCCGGAGTGGAACTGCCCGCTTGCTTCCAAGGCTGTAAAATTAACGGGCACGGATGGATACATCTTTCTTCTGCAGAGAGGCTGGTGGGTTGACATCAAAGATCTGTTAGTTACCAGCCAAGGGCTGAAGCCGTGCATCACCAGGGCTCCTGGTGAAGCATTATCTGGAGCGCAGTGCCTTGCAGGCACCTTGCATACCTTGGACGGGCATAAGAAGTGCTCTACTCTTTCTGTTTTATACACTTTATAAATCCTCCCTTTGCCCAAAGTCACTGGTTACTCTCTGTACCAGGAGAGGCTTGGATGGCCAAGCCTGAGGGCAGTGTTCCAAGCATCTTCCATGAGCCGGTCCATTATCCTAACAGCCCGATGAAGTAGGTGACATTGTTGTGTGGGTTCACAGCTGAGAAAACCAAAGCAGGAAGGCATTCAGTAATTCACCTGGCTCACTAGGGGTGTTCGTGGCAGCCCAGAGGTCAATCTGGGGAGGGCCCTAGTTACTAGCCCTTACACTCCATCACCATCACCTGGCACCACTGGGCCCTGCCCTGGTTACAATCAGCAAGCCTGGGGCAGCACCTGAGAATTCGCATTTCTAACAAGCTCCCAGGTGATGCCCATACTTGTGGTAGAGTGGTTTTGAACTGCTGACCTTGCAGTAAGTAGACCATGTGACTCTTATGTAGCTATTCTTAATTCTTGTGAATCAGTGAGAGGGAGAGAGAGTGTGTGCATGTGTGTGAAATCCCTAGGACAAACTACTTACAATCATAATGAAATCAACTCCTGGAACTTCAGAGAAGGCTCCCTGCAGAATGCACATTTTCTGCTAGTCTCAAATCGGCCCTTTAATCCGCAGTCTCTGAAACCCTATGGGGTCGCTGAGTGGGAGTCGACCCTGGGCAGCGGGCGGTTCGGTTTATTCGACGCTGCCGCCCGGGGGGTCCCGCCCCAGACCTGGGGCCTGGTTCGGACCACACTGCGGAGTGACCCCCCAGGCGATGGGGCTTCCCGCCTCTCCAGGCTGGCTGGGAAGTTCTGGATTGCCTGCGCCCCAGTGCACGGGCTCACCCCTGCAACCCCCCACAGGGCCCCGCGCGGGCCGGCGGCGGGCAGGGCTCCCGGCCCGCGGCCATCTTGGCCCCGGAGGGCACGGCCCCCCGCCTGCACCCCCTTCTCAGAGCCCTGCCCGCCGCACGCGCGGGCCCGGGAGGTGGGGGTGTCCTCACCGCGCCCCCTAGAGCTGAACCCGGCAGGCCGGCTCCCGGACCCCCGCGCCCTCCCGGAACCAAGGGTCCGGCCCGGGAAGACGCCTCGGCGGCGGGCGAAGCCCCGAGCAAACGGCTGCCCCACAGAGTGAAACAACGTGGGCGCGTCACGGAGCGCGGGACTCCGAGCGACCCC